TAATGTAAAACTTCAACCTCCTACATGTGATGTTCTTAATTTGTTATATATTTATCCATAATTTATATTAAATTAAATTTTATTAAATCAAATCCTTTACGTTTATGACGTGTCATTTAGTAAAGATTTAACACTTTCATATTATTCCTCTTGAAAATAAATTTGATGATATTTGAATGGTAAAAATAAAATATAAATAAATATTTTCTATCACATTATACATTGCTAAATGAAATCGCACTTAATCATTAAAGAACATATGTACATTAGGTATCATTCATAATTCATAAAAAGTTCAATGATATTCAAATGATAAAGAATGAATATAAGTAAATATTTTTCAACATATTATAGCTTACTAAAAGAATGATGTTGGAACAATAGAAAATTATATATATATATATATATATATATATTGTTCAGTAGACAAGTGTACTTGTAGAAAAGTAATATAGAGTTCTAAAATAAATTTCTGAAATTATTGTTCTACAATGATTATTTTCAATTACTAAAAAATTTTTAATTCAATTGTTTGAGCTCAAACGGTGCGAAATTAAATAAAAGATAGAATTAAATTATAAAATCAAGTATAAAATTTAGAACAAATAACACAATGCACATCTTGGTTGAGCTTATATGAGAGGAATATAGGGCATATGAGTTTTTTCATTCAATCATTTATGTTATTTTTTAGTTTAACTCTAAATCCGTTTTCCTTGTAATTATCAATCATTCATACAAATACTATCAATACTCAATGGTTATTGAATATTAATATTCTTTTCTCTAAACTAACATCCATAATGGTCATACAAGATATTAATTCAAGAAAGCGTAAAACACCTATGCACTTATTAATTTAGTAACAATTGGAAGAGAAAGATTGATTTGGTTCATAATATCATTTGTTTCATTTATTCTATAGATCCATTAACTAATCGAGGTACAGTCGCCTAACGATATAATTAATTAGAATCATATTACGAGTGGTTAATTTACAACATACAATTATGCACAATAGGATAAACACTAATCATAGACGGAAATCAAATTTAGACTCAAACATCAAAATTTCATAATTCATGAATAAGAATTTCCATAGCCTTAACTATGCACTTAGTTACTCATGCTAAAGAAAAAAACTAAAACAATCATAAACAAAGTCATAGTTAAAAGAAAATAGTAAATTAGAATGTTCCTTGGGGATGAGATGAGTTCTCGATATTCAAGTATCATTGCTTAAAGCTTTCAGTCCTGCCAAGAGTGTGACAAAGATCCAGTCGAAAGAGTGAGATGAAATATGTATCAAAAGATCAAGGACAAGTTCTATGACAAGGTGTGTAAGTTGTGTCTCTCGTTGCCTATGAGATCTCCTTTAATAAGGTTTGAAAACCCTAAAATTCTTCAAAGTTGGGTACTCATAGGAAAGCACGACTCTGCTTATACTAGAAGCATGGGTGTACTGCCTGCTTGTGGATTGGGCATGCTTTATCCAATTGGCGTAATTCTCTTGAATTTGCGTCCAAAATGTCTATTAGTCCCGTATATCTTCAAACATGTTTGACTGCAACAAAACTGAGGAAAATTAATGTACAAATCTATTCAAATTAAAAATAAATAGTATAAACATGTTGGAAAAGTATGTCAAACTCGGGGCGTTACATTATTCATTTAATTTAAAAGGAAATTTTAATTATGTATAAAGGTACTGTAAAAAAAAACTTTTATCAATGTTGTTATTATTATTATTGTTATTATTTATTTTTATTTTATAAATTTGGTCAAACATTAATTGGTCGAATGTGGTTAAGTCTATTCATATTATACTGTTATTTTACCTTTATCAGGATAAAGCTACATATTTCAATGAACATGAATTAGATACTAAAATTATTTATTAGTTTAGAATTAGTTTTTCAATATTAATTCTTAACGAATTAATTGACATAAATGGTCTGAAAGTGTAAAATCCAGAAATTTTAAATTCTTAAAACGACTTTTTTTATTTATTCAAAGTTAGAGAAATAGAATTTTCATATGTAATTGACTTTATAAGTACCGGTTAATTAAAATCTTTTGTGAATCAATTTATTTTGTGAAATTTTTCAATCGTGCAATATTAATTAAATAGCAGTAAAATTTATTGATCATAATAAACCAGAGACAAATTACTCTAATCTGGATATTGAACATACATTACATATATCAAGTGTAAGAATTTACATATTGTTTGTCAAAATATATGGACTCAAAATAATAATTACATAACTAAAATAGATAAAGTCCCAGAGCAGCCTCAAAATATCATGACACTGAGGACCCTACACTAGTCATCCCCATGTCATCCCTCTATCTCCTCTAGATTCTCAGAATTGAGGTCATCATCTGATCCGAGATGTAAATCTCCTGAGTTTAGCGCAACCTCAACTCCTTTGACCTGCTCACTGATAACTCGGGTTGGTCTTCCAAAATGGTCATAGTCATGATACATAAACAAATATGTGAAGTTTGTTGGGGTTCTGACTGTGCCTCTATAGATGTATATACATAAAGTATGGTATATTCTATTTACAGGAAAGTCAAAAGGGCTACTATAATACAAGTCCATTTCTAATATAATGATATTCCTAGGAATATCATCAACATGTATAGCCAGCTTGAAGTGGCATGTCCTCTGATACTTATTAAACACGTAATTAAGCCTATTATGTACAAAGTTATCTATAAGTTTAATCCTCTCTCTAGATGTCGTCATCATATTTCCCTAAAATGTTATGTAAGGATGAGTCTCTATTCTCATTACCAAGCATACATTAACAGTTAAGTCACACAATACCAATAAAACTAACACAATGATTAATCATGCCATGAAATCAAGTTCATATACATGCAACAATCATTAATTGTTCAGTCTTATGACATTTCATCCCTATTAATAGTTAGAGTTATCATTTCATACTTTCACTGCCCCTGAGATTCCTTGAGATTTACCTTAGCATAAATAGTCGCTGGATAGCTGCAGCTACACGGATACAACATGTGCTGACTTAGTCCCTTTTAGCAAAAGCATGATCGAGAGTTTAAGTCAGGAAATAAGTGTGAGACATGTGATGCTCTTACTCTCATTTGTTATGCACAATTCAAGAAGAGCGTCCACCACCCTTATTTTCCTAAGATTTTTCAATCACCTCTGTCTTCCACACTCTCAATATACCTCTGAACTATCTACCCTCGTCCTTATTATTTACTCTTCTCATTCTATTTCTCTTTTCATATCTCTCATTTTATTTTCATGTTTTTCTTTATGGTTCTACTTCTCTCAACAGTCATTATAGCCTTAACTCATTATTTTTTATAGACATATTATTCATCCTTCATCTATCTAATTTGCTCAAAATAAAGTCATACACATTCTCAATCGCAGCACATGTTTTTGTTTAACATATACATACATACATACATACATATATATATATATATATATATATACATATACACACACACACACACATACAATCATACATTTTTATGAGCACAAACATACCACGTTCTTAGTAACAAGATAAAGTTCTCTTTACTTCCGAGGACAAGTTTAATGAAGGAAAGAGTGAAAAGGTGGTCCAACGCGCTAAGATCGTTCTACACCTTACAGAGAAGAGTGCTCTTTGAGAAGAGAGAAAATAGAGATGAAAACGAGGAGTCAAGCTCTGAGATACTCAACAACGATTCTGGGGAGTTGAGCTTTGAGCTCGGATTCAGAGCAGCTTTGAAGTCTCTAAGGCTTTTCTCTGGAGGAGGGAAGAGAGAGTTTAAAGAAAATGAGTTAGGAAGTGTTTCTTGGAGTATAATGCAAGTCTCAGGTAAAAAATCCTTAAATACCCCTTGAATCTCGCACGCTTTCGCTTGATCAAGACTATCCTTTCTTGGGCGGGCTTCATCTCGCCTGGACGAGATATGCAGACAGTGATTTTCAACTATTTTCTAATATTCTCGCTCGAGCAAACCCCATCTCGCCTGGGTGAGATGACGTCCAGAGAGCTGAATGTTTTTTTTGTGAGTCCTCGCTTGAATGACTCATCTCGCCTGAGCAAGGTCTTAACTTGTATGAGTGAGATCACTCTCACCTGAGTAAGGTGACACTTGAGTTGGATTTATCCTATCTTACTTGAGCGAGAATTATCTTCCTGAACGAAATTGTCTTACACAATACTTCTCCAGAATGTTCAAAATTCATTCTTAAGCACTCGTAATGCTATATTATACTAAATAATTCATCATTTATCAAAAATGAAAAAAAGAGTATTATAGGAAAAAATTAAGTGTTCATAAGGTTAAATTAAACACATTTATTAAGAAAACAAAATAAAAAAAATTGTCTTTAAAGTTATTATTTTGAAAATAAAATATTAAAAATTTTGAAGAACATTACCTATGTAATTTGACTCATTTTCACTCGCTTTTATTTTAATTTTTTTAAAATACACAGACAAAATTATGAAAACACATTATTGATAGTAAAAGAAAAATAGGTGAAACAATCAGTATGATAATGCCCTAAATTCTTATTCTTTTTCTTTTAATAAAAATATGCTAAACATGTGATTATGATTTCAAAGCGGTATTGTAAAACTCAGACTAATTATAGGCTTGATTGTGTGGGTCACTTGATTAGTGGTTGAACTAATCAAAGCAAGGCAGATTTTACGAATCGAGGAAGCAAGACATTTCAAAGGTTTTAATTTTTCAAGAAAGACGAATGAAATTTTGATCAATCAGTACACATTCTGGTTCATTTTGATCAAGCCAGTCGCCAATTTCTTAATAAACCAAGTTTTACCGTTCTGTACTTGCTTTAATACATTTTTTCTAAAAAATCGTTTCAAAGTCCTTTTAATTGTCAATAAAATTCAGCATTCTATATTTAATGCAAACATGAGATAGTATAACTGAAACTGAGACGCCCAATTCCAAGATCATTCAAGTTCAACTCCTCTTGCCAAATGAAACCAGGACTTTTTATCATTTAAGTCTGCAAGCGTTGCAAAACTCTCATTTTTAATTTCAAGCTGTTATTTTCCATTTACTACATATTACAATTCAAGTGTAATACGTCATTACAACCGGTTGAACACTCCATATATAAAGCTTTTATATATAAAAGACTAAAATGCATCAGCATAACTGTGTAGCCAAACATAGTCACACACGGTATGTCCCAAAACACAAATATATGAAACGCCTTAATAGTAACAAAAATCATCACCAAAGTCATCAGGATAGGTGCAAACCCATATATTCTTGGAAGATGAATTAGAACATTAAAAATATTGATCATCAAAGAATCTCCGAAGTCAGCAAAGACTTCTTATCTCATCCGGCAACTTTTCTTGTGCAAGTTCTTCCAGTTGGAATTTGTTCTGCAGACCTGAGCAACAAGTTTGCAGATTTAGAAGTCCAATTGACTCCAGCCTTCATTGGAGGCGGCCGGGTTTGTCCCAAGGACTGTCTTCGACTACCAATAGACATATTGGCCAACTTCTCAGCTGTTTCTGAAACCCCACGTGCTGTTCTTCCTTTGTTTATAGAAGCTGACAAACAAACATCATAACCTTTAACCTTATTCCCAGACTATTGAAGTAACTATCTAACACACTTATGACAGTATAAAATTACAACGTTGCTTCAGAAATTGGTGTTAAACATTTATCATGAATGAAAAAGAACCACAGTATCAACTGGCTTACACGACAACAGTTATTATAGGATCAAATAAATATTTTAGTTCTTGTTTTTAATCCTCACATGAAACGAGTCCCAAAAGTATTAGACAAAAGTGCTTACTCGGGCTGTCTTTCCCTGGTGATCGATATTTTGATTGTTGAGCAGTCTTCAATGACTTCTTGTTCTTAATTCCATCCTTCAGAAGAATCAAAAAGAATTTATTTGCAGGACAAAATTTGAGAACAGAATCAATTTATTGGTGAAAATATATCAGTCTGCCAAAGTAACACCAAAGAAGAACTACTCTATTACATTAAAGAGGAATTTAAATTGAGACAGATCTAGAATATTTTTTAATGCTGACATCAGATATTCAATGGGCTGACGTGAGTAAGAAAGATAAGTATAGAAAGCAAAAACAAATCACCTCATTTGCCATTTCCAGCTTCCGTTGCACACCTGCAATGTTTAGAAATGATTTAGCACTGTGTTCTATGTACATTCAATATGTGAAACAGTGACACTTAAAAAAAGGCCTATTTCTGCACTACGAAAAATGGAAAAAGCTCAGCTGCATTTTATATTTACTTATAGTGAAGAGAAGAAATAAATTGGATGCTAAATATATGAAGACAAGTTTTGGAGCACATAACTTTCATTTGTGTAGAAGCAAAACAAAGTACATGGAATAAAAAGTTTAGTGACGTAAATTTATTTTAGCTTAGATGTGAGAACTAGACACCAAACAATACCACATATCAGAGTCTGAATAGCTTGGGTAGCTTGGGTCTATCATACAAAATGACAGGAAAATCAGAGATGTAAACCACAAAATTTCAAGAAAATCGATAAAATGGAGAAGTGTTCCGTGTCAATGTGCTAGAAAAGAAAAGTATCACTCAAGTTTAAGGGAAATTTTACAGTACAGCATGACTTTAATGTTGTATGGGATTGAATGCTAGTAATAAAACCCAAAAATTTAAAAAAAAACAAAAGCTCAATATTAGAGACAAAAATGTTAAGATAATGGATGAACACACAAGACAAGATAGGATTAGGAATTCCATTAGAAAGTAAGTTCAGCTAAGCACCTATTGTGTAACTTAAATATGGTAGAATCTCAACTTAGGTTGTTTGAGGCATAAGCAAAGAACTTTAGAATAGCCATCAAAAAGAGTAGAATAGTCCAATAATTAGAGGTAGAGAGACAGAGACCAAGAAAGGCTATAGCCTATAAGCTTTGTCATTAAGGATTTAGATTTTAGATGGTTCATCTATAGCAATAACTTGCCATAGGAGAAAGTATAAATCATTTTATCCATTTAGAGGACCTCACCTAATGGGAAAAAGTCTATTTCTGTTGTTACTTTGTTTCCATCATTAAGATATAACTTGCTAATTTAAATAATGTACTAATACAAAGTGGATATTTTCCAGCTAAAACACAAACAGATATTTCTAATGACTCTGATATACAGATGCCACAACAAATGTATGCACGTATTTAACTTATATATGGTTGAAACCAATTATATCACCTGAAGCTAAGGAATGTTGTAATTTTGGGGAAGAAAAATTATTCGTGAGTTTTGTATTAGGCAAAGCACCAGAGTATCTTTTGATCCCTTGCCGATCAAGGGATCCCCTGGTTCCAACTGCAACAAAAAGGACAATTAGGATTTAGGAGTTTATATCTCCTCTAATTGAACCATAAGACAGTCCATAGAAACTATAAATTGAATTACAAACCAGATGGAGGAGTTCTGGTTACAGCTCTAGTGCGAAGGGATGGAGGGATATAAAAGCAACTCTAAACAAATTCAAAAAGGAAGAAGTTAAAAACCAACTCAGAGAAAGCAAAATATAGTTTTGTGCATAAAAAGTAAAGAAGAGAGAACCTGAAAGAAAGGATGTTGTAGGGCCTCTGCTGCTGTTGGTCTCTTGCAGGGATCCCATGAACAAAGTGACTACAGAAATAGAATTCAAAGATCGGAAAAAAGAAATCCCACTCTATTAGTTTTAAAATGAAGACCAGGACTAAATTACAAAGCAATAAAAACAAAACTACTACCGTAATAAGGCTGATTGCATCATCACTTCTGGATGGGATCAGTACAGAGAGATGTACGCTAGCAAGCTGTAGAATTTAAACAAGAGATAGTATTTAGCAGAACACAATGTCATCTCAATATACATTATCAATAGACGGCATGAAAGGGGCTAACAAAATTAAACAGGGATTGAAATTATCAAGCACAGAGGAGTAAACAATAAACATAGCACATCAGAGAAGATATATATAATTATTAAATTGCCCCATACGTCACACCTTGCACAATAATTAGTAGATAGCTCCCCAAAAGCAGACCACCACTAACAGCAACACCCAAATTAAGAAAAGCTAACCTGTGGAAACTGATAGTTTATATCCCTAGCAAGTTTAAGTCCATCTGCCCAAGATTCAGTGGTTGGACTTCCTATCACACTGCATATTTTGTATATCTCATCTGCTTCACTGCATGTACAGCCATAAAGGAATGTGTTTATTTCCAGCCCACTCACTTAACAAGATACTTTAGACCAGGATGCCACTTATATGGGTATTATAGATATTATGCCATAAAATAATAAGAAGTTACAAACAATTAATTTGCAATTGCAATCAAATACATGGACATGGTAACTTATTCAGGGTGGACCCCGGTATCACAGGGAATTCCCTGATAAAAATTTATCAGCTTTATCTAACATGACACCATTTGGAAAGTTGTAGAAGTGAGGAGAAAGGGAGAGAGAAGTTAATACCTGGTACCAGGAAATAGAGGACGAAGAGTGAACAACTCAGCCATGATAGCACCCATAGCCCAAATGTCTGGAAGATAAAACAAAATTGATAAACGTTTGTATGAGACTCATCATCAATTTATCCGCACTACATGCAACACATTGTCTATGACATAACTTTCTTTTTAGGGAAAATTAAGTCAAGACCATAAAAGGCAATTACTCAATGTCAGATGCTTACCAACTTTAGAGCTGTACAGATGGGACTGAAGCAGGACTTCAGGAGCACGATACCTAATCAAAGGATTATACATGTTATTAAATAAATATAACAAAGAGCGTTATACATTATAATATTTATAATAATCATAAAGTAAAGTAATATGAGCTGAAAACACATACCACCGTGTGGAGACATACTCGGTGTAGGGTGGTTGTGAACTGATCTCTCGGGCAAGGCCAAAATCAGCAACCTTGATGATGTCCTTTGTAACCAGCAAGTTTTCTGCAAGCAGCATACATTGTGTCAAAACAGTAAAGCTTCAGTAGAGTAATAGAGATATGTACAAGTCACCAGGTATCTAATCTGAATTTGTCTCGTGATATGCAATTCAATTATCCAGTGAACTACATTTAAACAAATTAAAATAGATAACTTAAAGTGAGATTTTATGATGAAAATAAAATCCTAGCAACATTGTATACCATGTTATATAATATAAATGAATCCATATGACCATTTTATCATACCACATACTATAACACTACACAGAAAATCATTACTGGAGTACCAGGCTTCAGATCACGATGAAAGTATCCACGCTGGTGCATGTAAGCTAGACCCTGGAAAACTTGAAAACACCAATTTCTAACCTCATCTTCAGAAAACAGCTTTTCCCTGTTTTTCATAAGTTGGTAGAGGTTGCATTCCTGCATCACCAAAAATTGACCGATTAGTATTAGACTCCACATCAGCCACCAATTTCCCGTGAAATCCAAGCACTCACCATGTACTCAAAAACGAGGAACAGAATGTCACTTTCTCGAATAACTTCCTTCAGCTTCACAATATTTGGATGATTCATTTTTCGTAATGACTGCCATAGGGGAAATTAGAGAATAAATATATGCAGAAGAATAAACAAAATATGAAAAATAAGGCTAAGAAAAGATCAACAGAGAGGTGACACCTTGACTTCTCTCAAGTTTACACACTCCTCCCAAGAGTAATATTTCTTCTTCATTTTCTTGATTGCAACCTGTAATTTTATGCCAAATTAGAGAAAACACACAATACAACTTCACATAGGACACTGTCATTCAACTCAAAGCATACTTACAACTTCACCGCTTTGCTTATTAATGGCTCTCCAGACACTCCCAAATGTTCCATCACCAACTTCCTTAATTAACTTGTACCTGTTTTCAGGGAAGGGGGGAAAAACCTTAAAATATATTCAACAGAAAAATGAGGGAATATAACAACTTCTGGCTTCTGCAACAAGTATTCACCTCTCCATTATTCCCACAGAACCAAAAGCAGCTCTTATTCAAAAAGCAACCACAAACATGCAAAAGATAGATGGCATTTATCTCTAGCAGACAGACAATGCCTAGAAACAGGTAGAAATATGTCAACAGGTATTAGATGGTCCAGCAAAGTCCACCATCAATTCTCTGTCATGGCAAAATAATGTCAAAAGGCAGAAACTTTCTGATGGAAGGGCTGCACAGCCTTATTGAATACTAGACCCACAGATTTCTTATGGTAGCACGATGCATATGGTGGAAATAAACAAGTACTGGAGAACATACTGACACTTCCTAGGTCTAACCAAAATGATCGATCAAAGCAACAACATTAATCTTTCACTAAAATCACTGTGGCCCAAGATTTCAGGAGTTCAATAATAGCCACTTCATCTAATCTATATAGGTTGGTTTGGTTTCCCAATTATCAGGTAAATGATATTTTATCACCACCAATATCCATCAGAAACATCAACACAACAATTATCAATAAGTAGTGTCTGCACTGTTTCAATGCAATCGCCTATCTATTATTTGAGAAGCTGGCAGCATCCAAAATTCACACATCCATATTTCAGCCCTGTAAAACAAAGAAAAGGTTGAGTTAAACTCTGCTAAATTAAAAGACAATATACAAGTGCTCCCAAACAGATCTAATCTCTTACCCCAGAAGGGGATTTTTCAGATGTTTTTACTGGATGTTGGGTCAGCAATGCACTGTCAAAGAACACTTAGTAAGAAACAACTTTATTATAGGTTTTAGTCAAACATGAATAAGCTCTTACTTGTATGAGTTCCCTAAAGATGCAGCAACTGTCTCAGAAGAAGCAAGCATTACGTACACTGTGCTGATCATTAAAGTAGAACAGAAAGCTAGGTGCAATTAACAAAAGAAACCAGAAGAAAATTTCCAAGGAAGAAGAATCGCCAGTCAAGCACTTCTCGGAATGAAAACAAGTGATACTGGAGGCAACTTGACCAGAAATAAATTCCTTCCATGTCTCAAAAAATATATCAGGAACCCTGAGAGTCAAACGCAGATCACCCTGCAATAAGAAAATATCAGAAAATCTTATATTGGATTAAATATCTAAAATGTATATAATGCAAATGGCCACAAAAAGTAAATCCCAACGAAAAAATTGAGAGGGAATGCGATAATTCCAATGCAATAAAAATGTCAAAACTTAAAAAGAGCATAAGCATCGATGCCCAATTAAGATCTATTATGTTAATGCTTTCTAAATTGTTTCTGACGGTTAAAATTTGAAATCTATCAGATATTTTAACGTTTTAACAGTGTTAGAAAATTAAGTTAACAGACAACAATACCAGTATATCAACTAAACACTAAACTCCTGTACATAAATACTCTAGACAATCTAACAAGTTACGAAATTAAATTAAGATGAAGAAAATTAACATCATAGACTAATTCATATCATATGAGTCTAGGTCCAATTGCGATCCCAACTAATTTAATTTGCATTTCCACAATTTATATTACCCCCACACCCAGAATGTAAAATTAAGACCATTTAGAAGAATTCCCATAAATCCACAGAGCTAAATTCCAGACATCATCGCACAGCAATTCACCTAGCAAACAAATTGCTCACAAAATTTTACAAATAGCATCAAAATTGAAAATTGCTCATATGATGATAACCAATATCAAGATTCAGCCTCAAATACAAGCCCATCTCCAAACTTACACAAACATCCAAAATAAATAAAGAAATGGAGAAAAAGCACAAGAAGAATGAAGGATGCCTCACAAACCAAAATCCTCCACAAAATACTACAACCAGCCCAGGCAGAAAGCAAAGAAAAGAAAAACTAATACCATTATAATTAAGGCACAACGCAATAAACCAGAGAATTCATCACGCGCCAATTCACCTAGCAAACAAAGCGCCCATTAAATTCAACAACGAGCATTAAAGTTGAAAACCGTTATATAACGAAGAAAATGAAGCTACAGCTCAGTCAGAGCCACAAGAGAAACTCATCTCGGATTGAAACCCTAATTAACCCTAAAAAGATACCAAAAACCTAAAAAAGAACGCTTAAAATAAATCATGGAAACCAAACTCGACCTCCTTTGTGAAATCCGACAACAGCCAAATCAACTCCTACATCAGGAAACGACAACCATTCCTCAATCGATAATCGTCGATTAATATTAATTAATGCCCCAAAATTTCAAGGGATTCTCAACGGAATTCCAACGATTTAGATTCTGGGAGGGAGAAATCACGGGCTTGCCAAAAAGAAATCCGAACGATTCAACGGAGATCGAAACGGATCTGAAATGCACGAAGAAGAAGGAGAGAGGGGAAAACCTGAAGAAATCGGAGGAAAAGGACCGTCACGAAGGACGGGAAGAGGTGGAATCCAGAGTTTCCCTGTCTCTCTCTCTCTACCAGCAAATTCAACCCAATACAATAGCCAATTGGTCCTTCCCTTTGCTGTTTTCTATTTTTTCTTTCGCACCACCAAACCCCAAATATATCATTTAAAGAATAATATATATATATAATGAGTTAACATGTAACTCATCCATAAAATAGCAAAATGACAGGTTTTTAATAAAATCATAATTTATAAATTAGTAATTTTAAATAAATATATTTTTGTTATTCATATTTTACTCAACCCCATTTTTTTTCTTTCGAATTTATTGCCTTATTTTTATATTTTATAATAAAATTTCAGAATAGACTCTAATTTTTAAATTCAACCACCCACTAAACAGAAGTATCCTATTCATTCTCAAAAAGAAAAATACGATCAGTCTCATTTGAATTAGTTGATGAATAACTACTAAAGCTTTTACTGTCATATATCTATTAGTACTAATTAATTTATTCTGTACGTCAAATGCAGTAAGAAAAACTCAACCTTATAGGGTTTGATCCTACACAATGTTATGCGCTACTTCGTAGACCAAACGGTTTGGTTGCAAGTGTGCTCATCAACTAGAAGTGAAAGAAGCAATCAATTGTAACCAATAATATGTACCAAACGACTGAGACAAAGATGATGCTCTGCGCCGCTGATAAATAAAATTCTAATACAAAGTCTCATTCATCCTTTCCAGCAATAAAACAGAATCGTGATCTACAATTTTTACTTTTTTCCAAGATTTTATACAAGCACTGACTTGCAAAATAAGCATCATGGGTATTATAAGTACTAGTAACAAATTATAGACGATTCTTAACTCTTACATAGATCTAACGGTTAAAATATCTTCACCCACTGTCCATAGTTTATCTACGTTAATTATGGTAAAATCTACCTACCTAATAAATATATAAAAGATGATTTCTATTAATAGATAAAAGAATTCAAATTATTGAATTATTTTCCATCCTATTCTCAATGATAAGGAAGTTTTGGCTAAACCTCGATTGATATCCATAGTAGATAAATAAATCGTCAATCAACTCGTAAAAAATAAAGCTTAGTCAACCAAATGAGTAAAGTTCAACATATTTTTGAACGAACACTGCCCAAATGTATTATTCATTCAACTACTAAGATTTTCATTGTGTTAGATTGTCTTATTCCCTCTCTAACAAATACTATGCAAGTGTATTATTCATTCAATTACCAAGACCTTCATTGCTTTAGATTGTCTTTTTCTCTCTTTAAACCATCACAGATAAAGGTAAAACTTTCCAATTAAGACATCATACCATATCATTTTATAGATGAAGACCGCCATCTAGTATAATCAAAACCAAATGCGGATAAAGTAGACTCCAAACTGGTAGTACTAGTAGACCATAAGACCAAGATGATTATTGAAACAGTTTCTTCTAGCCTCTCTTGTTATACAAGGTAGTCTATTGAAACTTGCTCTTTTCTTTCTTCAACTTTTATTATTTCTTTCTTCTTTTACTCTCTCCATTTTTGGCAACTAATAAAACTTACTAAAAGAGTTTATGTTTTTAGATATTATGGTCACTCTTAGTGACATCTTTCTTTCTTCTTCTGGGTCATTATCCTTCTACTATGCCTTATATACAGATGTGCTTGTGCATGTTTCTCAATCCTATTTCTTCTTACTCCTTGCACCTCTACCGTCTCTTTATAACTGTCGTTGGACTCAAAAAAATTGTTACTCAACAATAGTCTATCATTGAAAGCCTAACTACTCGGATCAATCACTTGGAGTCTCTTGTCTCTAGTAGACAATGATGACATAGGTGTTCATGGTCAAGTGTACTTATCGAAAAGTAATAAAGGATTCTAAAATTAATTTTCAAATTATTGTCTCGTAAGAATTATTTTCAATTACTAAAAATTTCTTGATTTAATTGTTTGAATAACAAATTTTATATTAAGTGTGTTTAAAAATAAATAAATTATCACTAAAATTTAAAGCAAGAAACACAATACACTTCTTGGCTAAACTTCTAGGAGAGAAACCTATGGCATATAGATTTACTCATTTAATCCTTTATGTTATTCTTTTATTTAACTTTACCAATCATTCATACAAATATTATCAATACCCGATGGTCATGCAAGATATCAATTAAAGAAAGCATAACTTGTTAATTTTATAACAATTGGAAGAGAAAGATTAATTTGGTCCACCTAATCCTTTGTCTTATTTTATCCTAGAGATCTATTAACTAATTGTTGTACAGTCGCCTACGATGTAATTAATTAGGGTTATGTTACAAATGGTCAATTCACAACATATAATTATGTGCAATAGAACAAACATTAATTATGAACAGAAATCAAACTTAGATTCAAACATTAAAATCACCTAAATTCATGAATAAAAATTCTCATAGCCTTAACTATGGACTTAGTTACTCATGCTAGAAAAAAAAACTAAAACAATCATAAACAAAGTTATAGTTGGAAGGAAATAATAAACTAGAATCTCCTCAAGAATTGGGGATGAGAAAAGTTCTCGGTCTTCAAGTACAATCGCTTAAAGCTCCAAATTTCGCTAAGAATATGCCAAAGATCAAGAGCAAGGTTTTTGTAAAAGATTTGTCATTGGGGAATGATATCAAAAGGATAAAAAGAATGATGAGCCCCCTGCCCCCTAAGGTCTCTTTTAATAGGGTTTGTAAACCCTAAAATTTCTTTAAGTTGGGATTTTCGTAGATGAGTACAGTCATGCAAGGCCGTAAGCACGGTCGTCCATGTGGTCAAAGCACTCTTGTAGTGACTACTGGGGTCTGAGCATGCTGACTGTAGCAAAGCCTTATTTTTCAATCAATTTGAACCTAAATTGCACCAAAAATCTAATTTTGGCCTTCTCATCTTAATCTGCACAATAATCATAGAAATTAGTACAAAACCCAAGTAAAATAATAATCATTCATTAATATTTAGGCTATAAAAATACGTCAAAATACAGACTTATCAACTTTCTTATACTTAAAGTTTGTTTGTCCTCAAGTAAAGTCTTGGCCAAAAGGGTACAAAATAACTTGAAACATATCACCACAACAAGGAACTCAAGACAAATGAGATTAAACGAACAAATAGAGCCATATTATTGAGGATAAGTAATCAAAATATTTCTCAATTAGAATCTTATATTTCCTAACTTTTTACTAAATCATTAAACTAGGGTACTCTACTTTTCTCTCTCTTTAAGTGTTTATGGACAAAAGGAGATATCACTTAGTTCTTCTAAAGAAAAGTGTACTACCATAAGCTTAACTATAAACTAACTCTCCACTAAATAAATTAAATGCAAGTAAAAATCATAAGATCTTTTTCAAGTTATAATATGGCCAAAGGGTTATAATAATTGAGATTAGATAAATGAAGGAAAAGATATGTAAAGGGACAATATGTCATAAACATTACAAACATCCCCTAAGTTTATAAATGAATCCCTTACAATAATTTTTATATTTAGCATTCTATCAATTTTTTTACTCCTCCTTCTTTTTATTCATTTGTAACCCTTTTTCTTTTATTTTTGTTATTTTTCATTTTCTTTTTATATTTGAGCATATTTTTTTCTTTTTACAATAAAAGATGTAGAGGAGAATTTATCAAACTATTCAACAACTCAATTGCTCCATTCATAAACTCAAGGTCATCAAAGTATTTCATAATTTCAATGCAAGGGACCAAGAAAAATTAATAAAGCACAAAGTAGACAACTAGTTGTATCTCAAATATGTTGAAGGCCAAGAATAAAAATCATATTGTACCTTAATCATATTAAAACATGCAATAAAAAAAAGTAACCTTAAGTCAGTTACAAGTCAAGTTTTAGAACACAAATTCTAAGGAGATAATCATACAAAACAATGAGAAAAGAGATACAATTAATTAAATTAGGATAAAAATCTCCTTTAAAGTTAAAAACTCACATTTGTGGGTTAATGTTTAATATAAAGCAGAAAAGTAGGGAACAAGGCTAATTATTAGTTTCTAAATGAAAATCTTATTCCATTAATAATTACTCAATATGCTCTTCTATCTAGGAAAATTGGGTTCCTTGAGGGAAAAAGTTTCAAATAGTCATAAAAAAGGGCACATGCACTTACTTAACAACATGCAATAACAATCATATTATTAGAAACTCTCTCATACTTAAAGCAAAACATTATCTTCAATGTTTAGAAGAATTAAATCTATGCAAAAAGGCCAATAGAAAAAGTAGAAAGAAGAGGGACTCCCTAATAAGTTTAGAGAAAATGTCTATTTGAGAGTTAAGACATTGTTCCTTGGGCGCAACAATCCTTTGGAGGAGTAGCAGAGTCATGCTAAACCATATGCACACCAATGCTTATAAAGCAAAACCCTTTTTCTTCAACTATTACTGCATGCACGGCCATGCATGCCCATAAGCACGGGCATGCTTATGAATTAGTGCTTAGAATCTATGCACATTAGTGATTAACTAGACTCCTTTAAACTCCTATTATACTTATTCTTCATCCTAAAAAAATAAATAAGAATAAAATTGAAATAAAAAAGGAATAAAAATTAAAATGAAAGATACAGGTTACCTCCTGCAAGTACTTGTTTAACGTCACAAATCTAACAGTCCTATTAGATTATGGTGAGAAGAAGAGATGAGTCTTAAATGTTACTCTTTTGATGTGTAGTTGTCTTCCTAACAGCTTCTCTTCTATAACACTTGTCACATCAAAAGGGTTAATCACATAAGGAGAATTAAAAGAATGAGTAGAAAATTTAAGCGCTGAATCTGGGAGTTTATTAATGGGTGGTTTGAGCTTTTGTTTCTCCTCATCCTTAGGTTGCTTCTTCCTTGACCTTCTTCTTAGTGTTCCATGCTTTATAGAATTTAAGGGAGGAGAAGCATTATACACAATGCTCACAAACTTACATGACTTTTGGCTAGAATGGTACTTTAAATAATGAAAATCTTGAAACATGACTTCCTCATCATCTAGCTTTAAAGTGAGCTTTCTTTCTTATACATCTCTAATGACCCTTGTAGTGGCTAAGAAAGGTCTCTCTA